GTGACGAAAATTCATGTGTATCGGTCATTTTGGTGTTATGTAATGGTTGTAGCGATACCGTAACGGCCCGTTGCTGTCACACACATTTACAATATTCTAAAAACTTCCCTTCCAAAAAAAAAAAGCTTACAAATTATACATTATACATTCAAAATATATATTATATACATTCTGCATTACTCAGTAGCTCAAAAATAATTTTTATTTATGACACAATTTTTTTTATAATCATTTCAATTAATAATTGTAAATATTTTTTATTTAGCTAGTTTAGGTATTGGTCAAAAATAAATTTGTAAACATTTAAAATCAATTATTCTTAAACAAATAAATAAAAATAAGAGCTACAACATAGATTTATGACATATAAAGTCATTAACTGTTGAAATAAAATGTAAAAAACTCATTTTATAGTGATTTAAAAATATAAAGTATATTGGATCATATTTTAAAACTAACAAAAATTGATCAATATTTATTTTAAATCCCAATAAATGTGATTATGAAGGGAAAAAAATTATGTATCGGTAATTTTTTTTTTTAAATTGTGTGAAATATAAAAAAATTCACGATTCAGATTACCACAACCGTTACACTACTATCTTTATATCCGCAACAACAATCGTGCCACCGCAACCATTACAACGACCTCAATCAATTTTTGAAACATTGCCTGTGAATAATGAGGCACTTGACTTTCGAACTTAGACTACGTTAAACAAATGTCATTGAGTTTCAAGAAATATGCACATGTATCAAATGTCTGCTTGTATGTAAGTTTATGTATTAATGCATGAATCAGTGTTAGGACACTTTGAACTGAACTCTTGAGAGGTTTCTTGCTTCAAGAATGAAGAAATAGGAGGCAATGTTGTGTCATTAGAGAAATTTAAATACAACCAAAAACAGGGGAAAGAATGGGATGCAAACAAGTTTTAATATAAGATTTTGAGTATTTTTTTTCTATTATAGTGTTGCTTCAATCTCTATCTTAAAAATGAGCAAAAATTAAGTATTTGTGGCTATGAAGCACCGGCACTTCTTTTTAACTGCCGTATTCATGTTGGACACATAGACACGGTAGGAACACGTATGGGACATGCCACATGACGTGTTTTCTTATTTAATTAATTTATTTTTAAGATACATACTATAAACATTTCAGAGACATATCCAGATATCTTTTTTTTTATTTTCTTTAGTACTCTAAATGAAGGAGACTACAGTGAATTTTGCATTATTATACCATTTCTAAGCCATCAACGAGATCAATTGAAAACAATCATTGGAGAGCTAACATAGGGAACGCTAACATTGGGACTCAGCAACACAGATAGATGGAAAGGCAGGTGCAAGTGACAAAAAAGGATGCACTGTGCTGACACACTAGTTTGAATAATCCTATAAAGCTCGCAAACACCTACATTATGTTAATATGTAAATTAACGGCTTTTAACATGGCATAGCAACACATTTTACTAACACCCCGACTCCAGCGGACGCTATATTTTTTATTTTATTTTATTCACTTGTTCTTATTTTATTTTATTTTTATGTTGTCCCGATTCTCTCTTAAACCGACCATCTTTTTGGCTTGTGGGAGAATCCGAGAGTGGTGTGGAGAATTAAATATCACATGTATGGGTACACTCAAATTGACTCATCGGTTTTTTTTTTTATGAACAAATTTTTAATTGACTATGTTGATCATGATTATGCAAAGTCAGGTATAGTGAGCTGCCTATGTTTCAAAGTCATCCATATAAATAGTGCTTTATATCCATAGGTATGTTTGATTCACAAAATTAATAGTGAAGTATTAATAATCCTATTAAATTAGTGTGGTATTCACTATCGAATTGGATTAATATCCATTGGATTAATAATCCCACCCCTACCCCATTACTAATAATCCTACAAATTTGTTGGATTAATTATCCATTAGATTAATAATCTTAAACCAAAATGTTAAAACAAACATAGGATAATTGGGCTCACGAATTAATAATGCTAATCTCATGCTCTAATTCATCCAATCAAACATGCCAATGTTGTATAAATATTGTTTCGCACCCATATTGCTAGAAATGACCTTTCCATGTCATCATGTTGAGTGTTTGATTTGAATACATGAGAAGTAGCCTTTGAGTTGAAAAAAAATGTGATTACAGAGGAATGAAGTTTTATGAATAAAATCAACTTGGATTAGAATAGTTAGTCAAAATCATGAGGCCCGTTTGTTTTCAGAATTAAAATAGAAGGGATTATTAGTAAGAGGATTGATAGTAAGGGGATTAAATGAAATTGTGTTTGTTTTGATGATAGTTATTAGTGTAGGGATTGTTAAATTATTTTTATATAAAAGAATACAAAAAATACAAAAACATTAAACATTAATGTTAAAAAAAAATGCCCAACATATAAAAAAAAAATTTAAAAATTAAAAATTTTCAAGAAAAAAAATAAAACAATAATTTTTACTTAACAAAAAATTAAACATTAATATTCAAAAAAAAATGCCCAACATGTAAAAATAAAAATAAATAAAAAAATTCTAATCCGACAGACTATTTTTCTAATACTACCTCTACTTCCTCCATCCCAGTCCCCCTTCCAAGACCTAACCTAATCCCCTCATCCATCTCAATCACTTCTCCAAATCTACAAACAAGCACAAAATTAAATGAATCCCACCTTTATAATAATCACATCCCTCCCTCGTACCCCAAAACAAACGGGGCTTAGTGTCTAAACTATGCTGGTTTAGGTTTCAACTGGGTATTTGCATGCCTACAATAATCGTTTTATGGCTCATCAAGTTCCTATTTAGCAAATGCATTTTTAACCTATTTTCTTCAACTTTTTTTAATTGTCTTCATAGAACTTTTTTCAATGTTTTTCACTTTTCAGATTCTTCTACACTAAAATCCCTATTTTTTTAAAAAAAAAATGGATCAAGTTTGAGAAAAAGTACACAAAAGACACACAAAAAAAAAAAAAAGTAATAAAAAAAAAACCAAGAAATTGACTTTTTTTTTTTTGTCTCTTTTTCAAATTTGATCCTATTTACAAAATATAAATAAATAAATTAAAAAAAATTTGTCAAAAAGTTTTAAAATAATTTACTAAAAATAATTGGTAGAAATGCCTTTGGCAAACAGGGTAAGTCTTTTTCAACAGGCTTACATTGACTACCACGAATCAAAGGCATACAACTACCTCTGACAAGGCAAACCCAATGACATGAATCACAACACAACACCTACTTGAAAACATGCATTCAGAACTCATTTTAAATTCTTGAAGTATTTCTAATAATCTCTATATAATCTTTTTCTGTATTTATGTACAAGTGAATTGGAGCAAATAAATTTTCATGTTTTCCCTCTTTATTTCTTTTTTTCTTTTTGGGTTTTAAACTTGACAATGCAGTTAGACCTTTGGCTTCACTTATATCCAATTATCTTATCCACAGTATGAAAAATTAGTTTGTCATGAGAGACAAGACATATATTAACATTATCAGTGACAATATAGGCAAAAAGTGGAACATACCAGTGATTCGCCCCCAGTTCACGTTCATGACTTCGGGTTGAAAGTAACTACCCACAATTAGCTCTAAAAACAAGGTAATAGTGTTAACAATTATAAAGAAGGAGTTACTATTAGACAAATAACAAATAACTGCATTTAGCTTTACACAAGAACAAAACAATTGTGTTACTGGTTTTAGTTGTAGTAATTAGAAAGCAATGATTTCTCAGAGCTCAAAAACATTTATGGGTATCAAAAACCAATATTCAATGGGAAAATTTATCGAACAGTTAAACTGCAACCACGTACACATCAACACTTACATTACACTGTGACAGCTCAAAGGTGGGGATTAAAGATTTTTTGCTTTTACCAAATACATGTTTTTGAAATAAAATTCCCATGTTCAAACAGTCATAAATTTATTTCCTAAAGTGGTGTTTAATTTTGCTGTAATTGGTAAAAAAACCGAGATTTAAGGTATTTTGTGTGGTTAAGAATTAACCTCGTGGGCGGCTGGTCAACCAACTCATGCTTGGGAGGATTTCTACGAAAGCCGATTGGATGACAGCATTTTTCTGCATCAGTCCAACCAACAATTAACAAAAAAACAAAAGCATCTCTCTATCTGGTACTTGAGAAACAAAATAATTAACAATAAGCAACAATGAATTTAAAAAATTTGTGGACCACTCACATCACATCCCACTAATATATAGAGATATACAGACAGATAACAGTAATACATAGAAACATAAATAGTTATTTATAAGTTGTAAAATTAGAATCATAATAATAGACAGAAATTTGACCTGATACATGGACTTGCTAGAAAGAAAACAAGCCAAAGCAAATTGGCTTGTACTGGCCACCAGAGCTGTATGTCCCAACTTAACTAGTTTGATCTTCTATTTGGTTGCTAATAGACCGCGCAACACTGCCGGAAAATGGGGAAAACCCACCAGGTTATTTCATCTTAATCTAAAGCGCACACATCGACTCCCTAGACTTGTGCCACTCCCTAAACTTTTGATAATTTAACTCTTTTTCAACTTATTTAAGTAGTTCTTTTTTTAAGTTCCACGGAGAAATTGCACGAAAATCTCTTCCACCCAGAAAACAAAAAGCCAGAAGCACACAAAAAGCCAGAAGCACCATACTACACCGAACAAACATGAGAACCATACAAATATTACTGTGCTGCAGAGTTGAAAAAAGACAGTGAGCTTTGTAAATGTTAGCAGGACAATCTGATGGATCATCTTTTGGGAGTCTCTGGATTAAAGTTTCAGCTCAGGAAGGTTTCCTTTTGATCAGCAAGGGGATAACAAAAGTTGCACCTTAAGATTTTTATTTCATAGAAAGATTTTGTCAATTATCAAAAAGTTGAAATTGCAATATTCAAAGGAAACAACAGGCAGTTCAAAACCAATATAGACGGATCACAAAACGAAATAGGAGTACCATTTACATTCGAAAATATAAGCAGTGTTATTATAGAATACAACAAATAAAAAGAATAGACTCTTCATAGCCCATTTGTGCAATTTACAATTCCGATTACACTTTGGCCTTTCAGCATGAAAATGCACACCCTTCTTCATATAAAAAGTCAAATATATAAAAATAAACATATACGGAGAAAATATTACAACTTCAGAACTACTTTCCATGTTACCTTCCTAATTTTCATAAATGAAATCAAGTAGAGTCACTTCCTCCTGACCAAACTATTCTTGGACTAATTTGGTTGCATTTCGTGTTCAATTTTTTCTTCCCCTCACTACTGCTACCTACATATATAAAATATGAAAAGAATTGAAAAAAAATCAATATTGTTAAGATATTCCTTGAGCAAAACTACGGCTGAGAAGTTGCTTATGCCACCATCTGCTCCTGCTCTATGTACAACTGCTCCACCCATGGTGGAAGTGTTTCGTTAAGCCCTCCATGCTTCTGCTCAGTAGTACTGTATAACCCAGCCCCAACCGAGGAAACATCTTTCACCAATGAATTAACCCACGACACATCTGGCTCATCAAGGGCCGATGGCCGCATTGCTGATTTTGTTGTTGCATTACCACTTCGGAACCCAAAAGAGGCGGACTTCTTAAGTTTGTTTTGCTCTTCACCATGGAAGCCCCAATCCAGTTTCCCATCAGGCGAACTCCAATCAGAAAGATGGGATGACATCAAACTCGCAGAATTAGCAGCCGCAGTAAGCCCAAGGCTGCCAGGGCGGTGATTCACAGCTCCTCGGTCGATGAAGCTTTGGCTCCGCTTTGCAAAAGCAGATGACCTCGAATTCATGACCGCTGCTGCAACTGCCCCAGAGGAATCAAACCCGTAAATAGAGGGCTTCCTTGCTGGAGAGGATGAAAGGTTAGTCGGGTAACTTGCCCGAAGTTGGTTCATGTTCTGGCGTATCTGATGCGCAGTGGGAGATTGTAATTGGGTGGTGGTGGTGGTAACTTTGGGCGAAAGGCCCTGCAATTGAGACAATAAGGAAGGATCGAGAGATCCAAAAACATCATCGAGGTTAGTTGGCTTCAATTCCCCAATCTTACTGTATGGGGAAGAGAGACCAGTCAATTCATCAATCAATTGTCGTTGCTGTTGCTGCTGCTGGTGGTGTTGGTTACGGAGACCTTCCAATCCAAGCAATTCCATTTCAAGTTCGAAATCTCTAGCACTCAAAGCAGTCTTAAGCCGGCTACCGGGTAGCTGCAGCATAGGCGGAGTAAGATTAATTTTGTTCTGCCACATGTTCCCACCCATGGGTGATGAACAAGCTGCAGATGGAGACATGGATGGTGCTGAAGTAGTAGGAGGCATCAACAAAGACGATGAACCGTGAGCCACCGGGCTCAATGTTGCCATATCCACTGCACTAGCAGAAAGTGATTTCGGTGAAGGCATAGCAGACCCTGTGGAAGCATACAAGGGGCGCAATTCTTCATGCTTGTGGGCAAAGAAACAAACTTTCCGTGAGCACCCAGTCTCATCCTTGCAAAGCCTGGTTCTGTATTGTGCAGGATGAAGCCAGGACTCAAACACACCATGGGCATACTCACAAGCATCTGCCTTTGCACAGTTCCCCTTTCGGAACTCAGGGCACGGAACACAGCTGTAGTGATACTTGGTTGGATCGCGTCTCCGAGCGTTCTCCCCCGGATGGACAAATGGGCACTCTGTCCAGTCGTGAGAGTAGGCTCTCGAGCAAGGCTTGACCTTAAAAGAGTACATCCTGAACTCATCCGTGCCATATACCCCGTTATTTATATCGGGCAGCGATACATCAACAGGGTATTCTTTCTTCGGCAATTGGGCAACCTCTTGGTTACTATTCTGATCAATTGAAACAGATGCTAACAAAGCTTCTTCCTCAACATCACTAGCACCCTTCAACAACATCATCTCCAATGTCTTCCTTCTCGACAACTTGAATCCACGAGCAATCAAATCTCTTGGTGTGTTTCCATTAGCATCAACAGAATTGACATCTGCAGATGCATCAACCAAGAGCTTGACAACCTCAACCGACGAGTCCGAGCCACCGGCAGCAGCACAGTGAAGGGCAGTTGCCCCATCTGAACCACAAGCCCTGTTCAGATCAACCTTGCCAGTTTCAATTATGTACTTCAACACCTGTGTGCTTCCATACATGGAAGCAATCATCAGGGGTGTCCTCTCCTCAAACCCCATCTTTTTTGACCCAATTTTTCTTCCATACCACAAGCTTGTCTCATCAACGCCAAATCCCTCGTCTTCCACAGCAAATCTGAAGCCGGCTAAATCATCTGCCGCTGACAATTCGAGCAGAACAGAGCTTTCCCAGAAAACCCCATCTTTCTGGTATTGTTTTTCACCCTCCATGATCAAATTATAGGGGCAAAGTTTACTCTTTGAACCAGGACACATGTAAACCTGCCGAAAATAAAAACAAAATTTAGCATACAGCATTCGATTCAACCCATAAAATGGAAAAAAAAAAAAAAATCATACATATACATATATGTGTAATTTTCTCAAGGGTTTTCATGAATTTATTTGAATTTCTCTTCCAAGAAATTTGCAAACTTCCCAAAAATCTTTCAAATTATTTTTCTAGAACTAAAAACATTTTAAATCATTGAAGAACGGGTCAATTGCAATCCCTATACAATTTTTTTCAGCTTGAATACAAAGAAACCCAAATTCACACCCAGATCCCCAAACATTAAACATCAGCCAAACAAAACCCAGAATAAGAATCATCAAATACAATCAAGAATGTCCCAGTAATCCCATTTGAACTACTATGAACGTGAAAGAAAGAGTGCTCTTTTCATAAAACAAACATACATACCTTGACTGCTTGATATATTGAGAGAGATACAGAGAGAGATATAGAGCTGTAAGGATTAGCTTTGAAGATGATTCAATTCTTGAAGAGCTCGGTTGAGCTGTGAATTGAATTAGTAGTCTACTATGATGGATTATATATATATATGCAAATATATGAGGACACGGAGTGAGAAGAAGGGAGGAGGAAGGTGAGACTTTTCTTCTTCACCCTTTCTCTTGGTCAAAGTCAAACTTTCAAATGTGGGTCCCGCACCACACTTCTTCTGTTCTGTGTCCTACTGGTTCATTCATCCTCCCAAATGAAATTCAAACCAAATGCGAAAAAAAAACTCCACAAATTCAAATGCAAATGCACCGTGGGTCCAGCTACTCAGTAATATCTAACACCCTCAACGGGTTTGTCAGTGGCGTAAGGAACGCGCGTGATCGAGCGTTCTAGTCACGGACTCATTGTTTGATTACGTGGCAGTTAATGATTAGAAAAAAAGGTCAAGAGGAGAGTACGAGCGCTTTGGGTTATGAGTTGGCAATAGTACGAATGGTGACTGGGTGACGGACACCAGTCGGTCTCATCTCACGCATTTACGCGTTTGTTTGCTTGTTTTGTTTCGTTTGGATAGGTGACATCACAGTCATAGACCAGTAAGGCGGGGATAGGAGAAGTTATTTGGTACTTTACGATACGTACAATTAGTGACTTAAATCGAATGTGATTGGTGGAGAAAATAAGAAGATAGGAAGAAGTAGGGAACGTTATTGGTGAGGACAGGAATACGTGATATCCTTGCTACACCTAATAATTACCTATATGGAATCGTAAAAAAAAATAGAGTAGGATAGGTTACTACTAGGCTTTGGTTTTGCTTTGCATCGTCATCCCCCACTTTTTTTCTCCCCCTTTTTCTCTCAAAATATGGATTGGCTCTCCTCTGTTCGTGATCGGGTTGGAAGATGTTAATGAGTCCGTGAGAGCATAATTGTTTAATATGTATAAATTGTTGTGTATTATATATTTGTAAAAAAATTACGTTGATTGAATGTCAATATTTATTATTATATCAGTTTTTTATTGATCGTTTATTTTTTCGTCATCTATTTTTTTTATACAAAATTAATTTAATCATGTAATTATTAATATCCGATTATAAACAGTTCAATTTATCAAAATAAAACTCGTGACGGTGAACCGGAGGAAACCAAACCCTTCAAAATAATAATCGAAGAGAATTTAACTTTTTTTTTTTTTATAGAATAATTATTATATTTTAAAATTATTAATTTTTTTAAATTACTTTTTGATAAGAAATTTTTTTAAAAATATCAATTGTTATAATTATACTTTTTGTGTTATTAATGATCTAGCTCATCACCCATGCTATGCACGGGATAATTGTAAATATTTATATTTGTTTTAGATTTTTTTTAATATATAAATTATGTCTTTTAAGATTTTTTATAAAAATAATTTAATAATCTTATCATTAACCATAGTGTATGGGAGAAGTTGAAAATAGTACTGCAGTAACTATATACGGATTGTATCTATAATTATTTGTATGGGGAAATTTTAAATGTTGATCAGAAGATTTTGACCAAATCAATAAATGCAGGCATGTGGAAAGACATATGGATTGAAAAAAGTTAATAAATGCTAATCAGAGAATTTTGACCAAATCAATAAATGTTGAGTTTTTTTTTTTTAATAAAAAATTTTAAAAATTCAGATTGAGATATTGAAACTCTCACAGGCCTTGGGGGTTAAAAACTCCATTTTACTTAATATATAGTATAGATATATTGAGGGTTAGAAACTCATTTTTTCTTTATAAATACTAGCCCATCACATGTGCTATGCACGGGATAATTATAAATATTTATATTTGTTTTAATTTTTTTTAATATATAAATTATGTTTCTTAAGATTTTTTATAAAAATAATTTAACAATCTTATCACTAACCATAGTGTATAAGGGAAATTAGAAAGGTTACTGCAGTAACTATGCATGGTCTGTATTTATAATTATTTATACGAGGGGATTTTAAATGCTAATCAGGGATTTTGACTAAATCAATAAATGCAGACATGTGGATTGTAAAAAGTTAATAAATGTTGATCAGGAAATTTTGACCAAATCAATAAATGCTGAGTTTTTTTTTTTTTTAAATCAAAAATTTAGACTAACCATAGTGTACAGGAGAAATTAAAAAGGCTACTACAGTAACTGTGCATGGGCTGTATCTATAATCATTTGTATGTGAGGATTTTAAATGCTAATCAGAGATTTTGACCAAATCAATAAATACAGGAATGTGAATTGAAAAAAGTTAACAAATGTTGATCAGAAAATTTTGACCAAATCAATAAATGCTGAGGGTTTTTTTTTTAAATCAAAAATTTAGAAAATTAAGATTGAGAGATTGGAGCTCCCTCAAGGCTTGGGGTTTAGAAACTCCTTTTTTCTTAATATATTTACAATTATCTATATATGTGCATTGCGATTTTTAAATGTCTTTTTTTTTTTTAAATGTCTTCTTTTTTTCCTTTTTTATATTATATTAAAGTTTAATATTTTGATAATAATCATATGTGTTGGACTTTTCAAGAAATTAAATGTCTTCTTTTTTTTTATTATATTATATTAAAGTTTAATATTTTAATAATAATTATATGTATTGAACTTTTTAAGAAATTTTTTTTTATGCTTGTTCTTAATGCATTAAAGTGTTATTATGAGGGTAAAACTTGGGGGTTGGGAAAAGTTAATAAATGCTAAGGTTTTTTTTTTTTAAATCAAAAAATCAAAAAATTTAGATTGGGAAATTGGAGCTCCCATAAGGCTTGGGGTTAAAACCTCTTTTTACTTAATATATAGTATAGATAGATTTAAAAGAATGACAAAATAGAAAATTCATATTATTTTAGTCCTTAATTTTTTAAAAGGGATTAATATTTTAGAATAATAAAAATGGCGAATTACACCGCCAGTCCCTATAGTCTGGGGGTCGTGTCATTTTGATCCCTGACTTTTCAATTGTGACATATTTGACCTTAAATTTTTAATCTTGTTCCAAAGAATTGCAATTGAAGATACCTTTACTTAATTTTAAGGGTAAAATTGTCAATTTGATAAAATATAAACTAATTTGACCAAAATAAATGTCAAAAAAATATTTTTAAATTTTTAAAAATTATTTCTACCAACCAAAGATAAAATTATGTAAAATTGATAAATCTTTTAGACATTTATTTTTTTTTTACCAAATTAATTTTTATTATGTGTTTGGATGATAATCATGTAATAGGTAATTGCTATGATTTTAATGTGTGAATGATATATTTAATATATAAAATATTTTTAGTTTTGGATTTTTTTTTAATGAATTGGTTTAATAATGATATCAAAATTATCGTCATATTTAATTTTTGAAAAAATAAAAACTAAATTAATGAAAATAAAAATAACAACCCATTACATAATTATCATCCAAACATATAATAAAATTAATTTAATAAAATAAATAAATGTCTAAAGGATTTATCAATTTTACATAATTTTATCTTTAGTAGATATAAATAATTTTTAAAAATTCAAAAATATTTTTTTTGGCATTTATTTTTGTCAAATTACTTTATATTTTATTAAATTGATTATTTTGCTTTTGAAATTAAGTAATGATATTTTCAATTGTCCTTATTTGGAACAAGATTCAAAATTCAAGATCAAATGTGTTACAATTGAAAAGTTAAGGACCAAAATGACACAAGCCCCAGACTATAGAAACCATTAGTGTAATTCACCATAATAAAAAATGAAATAAGAGATTAATATTTTAGAACGGATAGAGTATTTGGGTTTGTTTGGCTTCAACTTTTTGATTAAAAAGACATAAAAGACAAACTAGGTTAAAATAAGTAAATAAAACAAAATATTGCATATAAACTATAATTATTTTATTTTCTTTCTCACAAAAACCAAAAAAATCAAGTCAAACAAACTTTTTGTCCCGGACTAAAATAATCACAAAAGTTTCAAATTAAAATAATCAAAAAAATAAAAAATCTAACTAAAAAAAAAAGCTTATTGCCAAACCAAGACCACTTTGTCACGTGAAATCCATTCTCTCACTGGAGAAATTCTGGCCTTGTTTGGTTTGGTTTTAAGAGATAATTTTTTTTTTTTAAATTTGGATAAAAGTTTAGAAATTTTTTTGGTTTATTTGATTGTATATTTTGGAAATAGTTTTGAAGTATGTGAATTTGGGATGAATTGATATTTTGTTGTAGTTAAGTAGATGTGTGTAAGAGAAAAAGTAATTAAAAATGAGAGAGGAGAGAAAAAAAATGATTGATTGATGTGTAGGAGATAGAAAGTAATTTTGAAAATTTTTTTTTCAAAATCACTAAACTAAACAAAATTTTAAAAAAATTTCTCCAAAATTTGTTTACCAAAACCAAACCAAACAAGGCCTTTCTTCTACACACCAAGTTTCCTTACTCAACACACTTCATAAATTTTTTCAAAATCATAATTTTATCCTTTAACAAAATTACCGTCTCACCTATCACCATCTTATCCACACATCTCACAATTTCTTCATATATATCTCACCCACCACCGTCTCACCAGCCACTTCACCGTCGGCCATCGCCTCTCATGCCCAAACCTCAACTATACACAGTATTTCCTTTCACTTTCCCCACTCCTTTTAGTCTCTAACCTTTCTATTTCGTCTTTTTTCTTTCTTTGTAAATCGCCATAGAAATCGCGATTGTTCAAACCACTAGTGCCGAATAGACCACTACTGTTCAAATATCAATCGCCGAACCAATTGAGTATGTAAAAATATCAACTATCGAATCTATAGAGTTCGAGTATCAACCATCGAATCTCTCTCTGTCTCTTTTTCTTTCTCTGTTAATCGATCGATCAATCGTGGTGAATAAGGGAGGTTGCGTTGCGATGGAGAGGGCAGAGATGACTGGAGAGGGGGCAGAGAAGACTGGGGAAGGAGTGGGGAGGTGGATCGCAGAGGTGACGCGACTGGTGATGATCACAATGGAGGTGACGGCGACCGGCGATGATTGTGATGGAGGTGACGGCTATGTGAGGGGTTGCATGAGAATGGTTGAAAGGTTAGGAAGGGGCAGTGGTTG